TCTCTAAATTACAGAGGCTGGCTTTGAACTCATGATGCTCCTGCCTCGGCTTCCCGAGCTGCTGGGTTTACAGGCATGTGCCACCATGCCTGGTCTCCATTTCTTTCTCTCCAGATAAATTTACTGTCACGTAAATTTACTGCTCTGCTCATGTTTCCCGTTCAAGGTGAACAGTTGCAGTTTCTTGGTCCTTTAGTCTAAGTCACTGTGAACTCTGGAAAAACCAAAGACCTGTGTAAATTTGTCACACTAGATTAAAAGCTCAGAGCTGAGTCTATCCAAGAGGTTTGGTGTAACTGCATATGCAACTTGCTGAGATTTGAAAAATACAGTAGTATTGAAATGGAGTTTTGAGATGAAACGGATTCACAGCTTTTGCTGGCAGGTGGGGTCTGCACAAGCTGCAAGCCTCTGCAGCTGAGAAATATTGCAGGTCTTAATGATAGACAGGCCATGCATGCCCTTTAATGTTGCAGCAAACCCCAGCAGCTCACCTTTAATTTCTTCTTTCTGGGTTTTTGTTTCGTGAATTTGAAGATCGAACTCCACAGACAGATGAGTGAGTGTAAGAGTAGGATTTACCAAAGAATAGAAACAGGAATTGAACTCCTGCAGTGCAAGAGGGGTCCCAATACCAGGTTTTTGCCATCTGCTTGTGCTACTCTAGGGATTTATATAGCACTTGATTCATTGCTTGTGGTCCAAATTTATGCTAATTAGGGTTTGGAATTGTACTAATACTATTGGTCAATTTTTTAGTCCCAACTTTCATTCACATCTGTTCTACTTCTATTTTTTCATCAGGAAGCAGGAGGTTGACCATTGATTGCACATGCTTAGTGGGGTGTTTGTAGCTCTGCCTGTGGTGCACTTCTGAGCAGGCACCCAGACTCTGCAGGATGGCTGCCTTGGAGTGACAGGGTCAGCTTTCTCTAGCTCACCTCAAGGCTGGCCTACTGTGCCTCAGGGCTGCCACTCTATTGCTACATCACTTCTTGGCAGGGACCAGTAGGCCAGCTGTGGGGTTTGGCAGCTAGGGAGGCATGTCAGTGTCATTTTAAATACTACTACTTTCCTTTAGCCAAAGTTTTTTTTTTTTTTTTTTTTTCCAGTGCCGGGGTTTGAAGCCAGGGCTTCATGCATGCCAGGCAACACTGAGCCAGCATCGCCTTTAGCCAGCATTTTTCAAGCAGTGTTTTGTTTGCTTGTTCTCATGGTGCTGGGAATTGAACCTAGGGCCTCATGCTTGCTAGGCAAGGATTCTACCATTTTGCTACATCCCCAGTCCAAAGCAATGTTTATTTTAAATATTAATAGACCAGTTGTGGTGCACACTTGTAATCCCTGCTGTGTAGTTCAAGGTTAGCTTCAGCAACTTTGAGACCCTGTTTATAAATGAATCCTAAAAAGGGGCTGGAGGTAGTTCAATGGTAGCGTTCCCCTGAGTTCAACCTCCAGGTGTTCTTTTTCTCCCCCCTTAAGTAGGCCAAATATTTTGAAAAAAGTTTGTTATAGGAAATTTCTGTTTATAAGTAATTCATTAGCACATTGATCAGTTTAGTAGCTAAAAGCAGAATTCCAAGGATATTGTTTTATACCTGAGACTTAGCATCCAATTTTTGATGTCATTGTTGTTACCAGGAAATTAACCACTGAGCCACATCTCCAGCCCTTTTTACTTTTTGAGACAGGATCTCACTAAGTTCTTAGGGTCTGCCTAAATTGCTGAGGCTGGCTTTGAATTTATAATCCTCTTGCCTCAGCCTCTAGAGAGCTGCTGGGATTGCAAGTGTGTGCCACTGCACCTGGCTTGACATCCAGGTTTTTTTTGTTTTTGTTTTTGTTTTTTAACTCCAGGCATTTATTTAATGTAGATCACTTAAAAAAAATTCCTATTACATGTATGAAGAAGATACTTTATTGTATTTAAATAAATTTCTCTTGAAAGGCTTTTTCTAATTAGGAAAGTAGGATGTATTTGTTATAGAACACTTGAAATATACAGAAAATGTAAAGAATAAAAATCCCTCCTCCTCAGAAGACCTACTGATATTTTGTGGTATCTGTCTTTTAACTCTTCATAAGTGAGTATTTATATAAAACTGGAATTATAATTTTACAGGCTGCTTTTTAATTTTTAAAATTTTACTATTATTATTTGAACATCTAAATTTGATATTACATACGTCTTTGAAAATGGTAAATGGTTGCAGAATAACTGTAAGCTCATCTGCCACTTTTGATTTGACCATTTGTCGGTGTGTCTGTATGCTACAGGGGAGTGAATCCAGGGCCTTGTGCATGCTAGTATAGAGCTCTGCCACTGAGCTACTTCTCCATCGCTTTTTGTATTTTGAGACAGGTCTCACTGAATTGCCCAAGCTGGCCTTGAACTTGTGATCCCCCTGTCTCAGCCTCCCATATAGCTGGGATTATAGGCATGTAGCACCAGCTTTCTGTAGGTTTTGAGCCATTTTTTTCTTGTTTTCACATTTATAAAGAATCAGCTATTGGGTGGCAGGTGGGAGAGGGTTGATTTTTTTTTTTTTTTTAATATAGTCTTTTTTTTTATTAGTTGTTGTTCAAAACATTACAAAGCTCTTGACATATTATATTTCATACATTTGATTCAAGCAGATTATGAACTCCCATTTTTACCCCATATACATATTGCAGATTCACATCGGTTACACATCCACTTTTGAGAGGGTTGATGTTGATGAAAGGAAAAGAATTCTCTTTTCATGGATTTTATTTGTTCAATTTAATTAATTAGATACTTAGTGAGCACTTGTGTGTTAGGCTCTGTGTTAGATTCTGAGACTCAGAGTGAATCCTTTCACCTTGAAGGAGGTCTGATAATGATAACTGAGAACCTGAATTAAAGTCATAGTAGAAATGGAAATACAGAAGACAGGAAGGATTCTCTGTGATGTGTAGGTAGGAAAGTCAGTAGTTTTTTGCTGAGCGAGTGTTGGATGTGACTGAGTAGGAGACATCTAAGTCTATTCCCACATAACATTTTGGGTAACAAGGATGGACTTTAGTGTAATTTATTAGTATGGGGCCACGGAGAGAAGTACAAATTTGCTTCAAGTTTTGTTTTGAGCAAAACAAATTAGAGGTGTCTGTGGAGCACTAGAATGTTGGACATTTAGATAGATGAATCAGAGAAGAGCGATTTGAACTAGAGAGATGGATCTCTGGATTACTGGTACCTAAATTGTGGTATCAGCATAGACTAGAGATCTTGCTGAACTTCCCTTGGGGGAGAATGTATATTTGAGAAGAGGTCTAAGGAGTGTCCATATAGTCATGTGTGGAGGTTATAAGGACATATTTGAAAGAGAGAACCAGAATTGGAGAAAGGATGGCATTGTATTTACTGAAATAAGAAGAAAAGAGGTATCCACAACAGTGTCATCTGCTATGTCATAGAGGTTTAAGAGGAGAACCACTGGCAAGAGTGTATTGGATTTGTCAAGGTCCTTGGTGAAAGGAGTTTCAAGGTAGGTGGAGACAGAATGAGGGAATGGCAGGTGAATTACTAGTAAGGTAACTAGTGTGGTAGCTAGAGATGGAAGGGTGGAGGTTGTTCAGATGTGGTATGAAAGAAGGGTTTTGCTTTAATAAGGATTTGAACCCATTGATTATGAGAAGCACCCATTGATGGAAAGATCAAAGTTGCTGGATGATGAAGTTGATGATAAGCAAAGATCCTGAGGACAAAGAGAAAGGAATGGGATTTAGAGCTTAGATGGGGGCGGTGCTTTTGCGGAAGAAACTTGGGATAGATGGGAGTATTTGCTAAAATGGTGGGTGTTATTGGCAGTAACTCTTGTGTTTTTCAGGACATTGGCTGAGAAGGAGGCAGATTGGATGGGGGAAGGGCATGAGGGCAGTGTCAAGATTTGAAATAACTGTGGTGGGGGAACCAAGGCCAAGAGGATGATTGTAAAATCATTGTGGTTTCATAATTAGGGGTCTTGATTTGTAGAGGTACCAGTTTGCACAGTTTCCCAATCCTGTGCCCTACCAAAATTCCAAAGCCACTTAAAACAGGAGGGAAATTTCATACTTCCCTAGAGGACCCTTCCCTGACCTCCTAAATTAAATGTCTTTCTAGTCTCTCATCACTGTTTTTGCTTTCTGGCAATCTAAGTCAGAATATAGTTTCATCTTTTATTGTCTTAGTTGTTATAAATGAAAATAACAATAATTTGAGTTATATGTATTTCCCCCAGTAATAAAATTTCAGATAGATCTGATTTTGCTTACTATTGCAGAGTGTCAGGCACCCAGTAGCCACAGGGTAAGTTTTCACTGAATTTTATTGATCAGATACAGTGGTTTTTAACCTTTTTATCTGTCACAGCACAACTCTGCAATATGAACATATTTGAACCATTATGGACCGCCTCAGTCCTCACCTGAAGAAGGATGGTGTCAAGGTAGTGCAGGGTGGCGGTTGCTAGAATCGCAGCTCTTAGAATACAAATGCCTGTGCTCATTCATCAGCCCTGTTTCTCAGAAGATTTCTGACCTTGGGCAAATTCATAGTTTCCCTGTACCCCCGTGTTCTTTTCAGTGAAGTGTTACTGGTGATAGTGCCTACATCATAGGGTTGTCATGAAGATTATATGAGAGAATTCTTGTAAAGCTTATTTCAAACCACTAATAGTAAAAGTTATTACTATTAGTGGTTTGAAAAAAATCTCCTAGGTGATTTTGATAGCCTTTTTTTCTTGAGGTGCCTGACTTTACGATAAGGAATTTGCAGGGCAGAGCCTGCAAATTTGTATATGTATGATGATTTTCTTGGCCCAGTGACCAGCATCTGGAAATAAGACCATTCCTGATCCTGTAGGACTATAATCAAGTAATAGAATTGTCATGTAACTCATCATTTTTTTCACTTCCCATCTGTGGGATGAAGGCATAGTGAATGCTATCTGCTTTATGCCTGCACTAGTAAACTTGCTTCTTTGTTTCCCTTTCAGAGGAGGTGTCCAAGTTGGAGAAGCACTTGATGCTTCTCCGGCAAGAGTATGTCAAGCTGCAGAAGAAATTGGCAGAGACAGAGAAGAGATGCACTCTTTTGGCTGCACAAGCAAACAAGGAAAACAGCAGTGAGTCCTTCATCAGCCGGTTGCTGACGATAGTGGCGGACCTGTATGAGCAAGAGCAGTACAGGTGAGGTCTTATACACAGAAGTGAGCCCTCTTGCTTTTCTCCTGGGCCACATCACAACATACTGCAACTGTTTATTTTCTTGCCAAATTTATTTCTCTCTAATCAGAATTATTAGCAAGCCTTTATTCCCTAGCATTTAAGTTCCTTGAAGCAAAGTTTTTTTCTTTTTTATTGCTTCTGTCTAGCACAAAGTGGGGAATCATGGTGATAGCTTTGCTAATTTGAACAGAAATTAGCTTACATATCTGGGAATCCGAAGGGGAGAGGTTCCTTTCTCTTCAGATGGTGAAAGTCATCCTAGATCTAAGCCATCCTAGGTCTAGTGGGCAATATAGCTTGGCTGTTGAATTGTGGTGCCATATAGCCTGTGTTCGAAACTCAGCTGGTGCTGGGCATGGTGTCACACACCTGTAATCCCAGCTACTCAGGAGGTTGAGGCAGGAGGACTGCCAGTTTTAGGCCAGCCTTGGCCAGTTAGTGAGACCCTATGTTAAAAAAAGAAGATGATGAATCAGAAGAATCCCAACTGGCCGTTTACTAGCTGTGTGATTTCAAGCCATATCACATCTCAAGTTCCTAATCTGTATGATGGATTTACTACTTACCTAAAGGTCATTGTGAGGCTTTACTTAATAAATACATGTTAAGTACTTAGGGTAGTGCATGGCATATTGTAAGTGCCTAATTGTCAGCTGTTGTTATTAAATGAATTTTGAGGTAGATGTTAAAGAATGGATGGAATTCAGTATGTAAAGACATTGATACTATAAGTAAGGGCAGTGACTAAGAAAAGGCTCAGAGAAACAGAGAGTTTAGAGGACAGTTTAGGGTATGTAGTAACCTACAAGGAGAGCAGTAGGAGAGGTGAAAAAGGTAGGATGGATGCTCAGGTGAGGAGTGTGGACATGATCCTTCAGGAAGTACAGTAGAGTGTTTTTGAGTTTGAAGATTTTCATAATGCAAGTGGTATTTAGGAAGATGAACCTGCTCAGGTCATATAAGTGAAACTAGAGAAAAGAGCAGGGAGAGCACTTGTGATGTCGCATGTGGTACAAATCAGAAATAATGGAGGACTAAATTGGGATGGTGGATATGGAAAAAAAAGGTGTGAGTGTGCATAGAAGAAAGGATATTGCTCTAAGGGACATAGATGATTGGACTAGGTAAGAATTGGTGATATTTCCAAATAAATTATAATAGTAGATCAAAATCTTGAACTACTATTTACCATCTTAATCATTTCCAAAAGGAAGAAAACTCTAATACCTTTCCTCCCCTCCAAAAAGAATAGGTATTTATTCTGAGTAAAGGAAAGTTACACAAATTGAATACATGTGTAGCTTCTTGTCAAATATAGTTCATTGTCTTTCCTCCTGCTGTTTTCTATAGACAAATGGAAACTGTTTCCTGCTGGCCCAAGGGAGTCCAACATAAGTCTGTTACTGACATGTCTCTCCCATGCTTAAAGTCTTTTCTCCGTTGACTCCCATCATTTATCTTCTCAATTACATGTCATTTGACTATATTCATTATGTTGTAGTCTTTCTAGGAGATAATGGGAATGAGAACGGGCAGATTCCACTCTGGTCACTTTTTACTTGCTCAGTTATAGTATGGTTTTATAATGCCAGTGTGTCTCCCTTCAGCTTTTAAAACCTGCCTTTTCCCTAAAGAAGGTTGAATACTTATCTTATTATCTACTATTATCTATAATTGTTTTGATTTTTTTTTTTTTTTGTGGTGCTGGGAATTGAACCTAGGGCTCTGTGCATTCAAGGCAAGCACTCTAATATCTGAGCTATATCCCAGCCCTATTATCTATAATTGAGTAAGAGGTGGGGAATGGAACCTTCATAAAGGACTGAGCCCTTGAGATGGGGATAACTAAAATTGAGAAATCAATTTTTAAAGCAAGTATCTTCTTGCCAAGATAGTAAAAAACTACCTTTGTCTCATAACCTGCATTTTGTTGAAGAACTATTATTTTTATGTGCATTTTGATAACTGTGGTAACTGATATACAGTTTGAAATTTTTTATGTTGAGAAATGTGGAAGAAACGGGTACATATCTTTTATTTTAGGTCAAGAGAAGGCTTTTGTCCCCATAAGGTAGTTAAAAATGATGTATATATTTTTTATTGGATTCAATATTTTACCAACCAAGTTTGTGGTTTTTCTCATTGAAATGTTTGAGAAACTCTAGCAAGAAACTTTATTTATATATGCTCTCCAGTGATAGCATCCTAGTTTTCATATTTTAAAGAAAATCCTCTTTTTAAATTTACTTTTCTGCAGTGTTGGGGATCAAACCCAGGGTCTTTCACATGCTAGACAGGTCCTGTGCCGCTGAGCTATACCCCTGGTTCTGATTTGTGTGTTTGAAAATTATTAATAAAATCCTTATCTTTATTTCCCTTTGGTATGTCAGACTATAAAAGACAGAAAAAAATTGACCTGATATTTATGAATAGTGTTATAGAAATATTTAGTTTTAGAATATTTTTGAGGCTTTTGGACTTATAGTTGAAACAGTACAGACAATGAAAATCCATTTAAGTTTTTAGAATCTATTTCCTTTTTTTTAAAATTTTTTTTTGATATTTTATTTTTTAGTTGTAGTTGGACACAATACCTTTATTTTGTTTATTTATTTTTATGTGCTGCTGAGGATCAAACTCAGGGCCTTGCATGTGCTAGGCAAGCATTCTACTTCTGAGCCACAACCCCAGCCCAGAATTGAATTCCTTTTTATTGTACTGGGGATTGACCTCAAAGGCACCTATATTCCCAGACCTTTTTTTACTTTTATTTTGAGACTGGGTCTCATTAAGTTGCTTAGGGTGGCCTTAAACTCATGATCCTCCTGTCTCAGCCTTCTAAGTTCACTGACTGGGATTACAGGCACATGCCACCATGTGTTTTCTAAATAGTTTGTATTTTCATTCAGTTCTTAAAACTACCATTGTATGTAATTTGAGGCGGTTTTATGTTGTTTTAAATAGAATATTAGTTCTATTTCTTCTTTATTGACGAATACATTGTTTTTACTATAACAACTTACAATAATAAATATTCTTAATCTTGTGGTCTAATGAGTTACAGCTTGGTCTTTTAATAGAACTACAACTATCAATGCTCTTATGTAATTATAAAGCTTGTTCTAGACACTATTTTGTGGGGCATAATTTATCAAGTGTTAACATGGAACCAATATTTGAGCTGGGTGAAATGGTGCATATCCATAACCCCAGCTACTCAGAAGGCAGAGTCAGGAAAATTTCATATTTGGGGCCAGCCTGTGGGATTTGGCAAGACCCTGCTTCAGGCTGGGGTTGTAGCTCAGTGGTAGAGAATTTGCCTTAGTATGTGCGAGGCACTGGATTCGATCCTCAGCACCACATAAAAGTAAATAAATAAAATAAAGGTATTGTGTCCATCTACAACTAAAAAAAAAAAAAAAAAGGACCCTGTCTCAAAATATATATTTTTTTCCTTTTTAAAAAGGAGGGCTGGGCATGTAGCTCAGTGGTAGAGTGCTTGCCTAGCATGCATGAAGCCCTGGGTTCAATTCCTAGTACCATGAAAAATAAAAAAGAAGAAACAACAATATTCTGTTAGTCTCCTTTTATGTGGATGAGTTAATTCATGTAATAGCTTCTTTTCTTTTATTCCCCCCATGTAATAGTTTTTGTCTATTTAATTTCTAAAGATATAAATAATTTTAAAGGGTAATAAGAAAATAAAAAGGAATATATAAATACAAGCAGAGGATGATAATAATGAATGACTGTATTGCTGCCATATTGCTGCCAATATGGCACATGCTCATGTCAGCCCAGTGGGTCATCATTGTTACTTGCCCGTGCATTTCTACCTTAGCATTGACATTTCAGAGGTAGGTGTAAATACCTATTTGGGAAGCTCTTTTCACATTTGGTATGTTGTAAATATGGAAAAATTAAAAAAAAATTAAAGATTTCTTCTCCTCTTAAATGCTCATTAATAAATGCTCTGAATGTTTCTGCTGGGAACAGGTATTGATTTCCATATTCTTGACTGATTTGTCAAAGCTAATTTGTTCATAGTTTTTCTGTTTAACCTTGCTTGAGCATTAATATAGAGCATAGCAGCACCATAGTTTCAGAGCTGTCATCACAGGGTTTAAGCTTTCTATCTTTCTATCTTTCTCTCCTAATGGTTTATCTTAATCTATTCTGAAAAAAAAATCTATTTTATATATTAATATTAATCATCCTGCTTAACTTATAGGAGTTATATTTAAAAGCACTGCATACCATGTGAATTAAAGTCAACAGTTAGAAAACATTTCTAGCAACATATTATAAACATGATCCATTAGAATTCAGAGCTAGTGTATAGAAATAATTTTGTTGTGATTTTTTTCTTTTGCAGATGCATGTTGATCAGTCAATACCCAAGTATTTATTAGTTGTGAATTCTAGTTATATCTAATTATGATGATATTTTTCTTTTTATATCTGTGAATTTTTTCACCAGTGATCTGAAAATAAAGGTTGGAGGCAGGCACATCAGTGCTCATAAGTTTGTCCTGGCAGCCCGTAGTGACAGCTGGAGTCTGGCCAACTTGTCTTCCACTGAGGAACTGGACCTGTCAGGTGAGCCTCTGACCCATCAGGGACACAAAATTGATAGTACAAGAACTCCTGGTAGAAAGTTATGTGTGTCATCTTGAAATATTTGTGGTTTAGTGACAGTAAAGTATTTTTCTATTCAATTGATGGAGACCAAGAACTACTTAAATATTTGGTGAATCTCCTTAGCTTGTCATTTGTGGATTCTTGTGTTTAATTCTTAATAAAAATTTTAAAATTTTTTTTTTTAGAAGCTGTTTGACCTTTATTTTATTCATTTATTTATTTGTGGTGCTGAGAATCAAACCCAGTGCCTCACATATGCTAGGCTGTCCCACTAAGCCACAACTGCAGCCCCCTTTAATAAAAATCTTAAATATTTGAGTATCTAAAATGTTATTAGGATTCATAAAATAGGAATAGCTTTTCAGAAACTCATTTTATATAGTGATAATGACATAAACATAGAAGTATGTGCAGAAAAAACAATTCTGCCTGTATTGTAAGGAGAAAGTCCTTCAGGGTTGGTTAAAATTTTGTAACTTGCAGAATACTTTTTCTCTTCTGAAAATATTTAACTCTGAGTAACAGTTACTATAAAGAATAACAGTATTTTTTTCTTTAAAATCAAAGGATATCATTAGCATTTAGAATTTTTTTTTGGGGGGGGGGGCGCTGGTGATTGAACCAAGGGGCACTTGACCACTAAACCACATGCCTAGCCCTTTTTTATTTTTAACTTTGAGATAGGGTCTCACTGTGTTGCTTAGTGCCTAGATTTTGCTGAGGCTGGCTTTGAACTTACAGTCCTCCTGCCTCAGCCTCCCAAACTCCTGGGTTTATAGGTGTGCCCCATTGCATTCAGCTAGCCTGTAGAATTATAACACCTTTGGGCCAGGTGTAGTGGTACATGCCTATAATTCCAGTGATTCAAAAGGCTGAGACAGAAGGATCAAAGATTCGAGATCAGCCTCATTACCTTAAGGAGGCCCTAAGCAATTTAGTGAGATCCTATCTCAAAAGAAAAAAAATTTTGAACAAAGACTGGGAACTTAGCTCAATGGTAGAGTGCCCCTGGGTTCAAGTCCCAGTCACCCCCGCTCAAAAAAAAAAAAAAAAAAAGATTAGGTTTGGGTAACTATGTGAGGTGTTAGATAGGTTAATTTATTTCAGTATAGTAATCAGTTCATACATAATGTTATACACTTTAAGTACTATTTTAAAAGAATAGTAATGGATACATTGGGCTATTTTATTCTGCTATTAATAATATGAGAATTATAGTATGAGAAGAATATCCAGGCATAAGTCCAAAAGTTAGGACACATTGGGTTGGGGGTGTAGTGTGGTGATAGAATGCTTGCCTATCATGCACGGCATATATAAATAAACATATAATCAACTAACCAAGGACATATTTGTGGAAGTGATAAGTTGTGTGACAATGCTACTGATTTATGTCTTTATTTAGAAAGTTTGCCAATTTATAAGGTTCTATTTCCATGTACCAGGATGATTATAATATTTTCCCTGCCATATGGAGCTCATTCTCTGTTGGGAACAACAGGCAATTAACATTTTAGGCCAGAATTATAAATAGAGTAATACAATTGCTAAACTATGTGGTACTAAAGAGGCTAAATTGAGCTGATAAAGAAAGTATCAGGAGCAGACTGCTGTGACCCCAGCCCACCCACCGGGCGAAAGGAACAGTAGTGGATGGCTTCGACCCTGGCTGGCCCTCCATTCTGTAGGAGCAGAGTGACCCTTGAATCCACACTGCTAGAGAGGAAGATATGTGGACAATATGAAGAAACGGGAGGAAAATGACCCAAACAAACCAAGCTGATCCAATAATAGACTGGATTCCATTGACAGCACAGTAGGTGAAATGTCAGGGAAGTAGTTCAGAATGTAATGATCTGAGAAGCAAAGAATGAATTAAGAGAGCAAATACAGGCAACAGTTGACAGTTCCAACAAAAAGATAAGAGAGGAAATACAGGTAGCAAAAGATTACTTCAAGAAAGAGAGAGAAAACTCGTGGAAAAAAAAATCCTTGAAATAAAGGAAACAATAAACTAAATAAAAATTCAATAGAAAGCATCAACAACAGACTAGATCCCTTGGAAGACAGAACCTAAGGCAATGAGGACAAAATATATAATCTTGAAAATAAAGTTGACCACACAGTGAAGATGGTGAGAAACCATGAACAGAACCTTGAAGAATTATGGGACAACATTAAAAGACCAAATATAAGAATTATCGGCATAGAGGAAGGCACAGAGGAAACCAAAGGAAAGCACAATCTCTTCAATGAAATAATATCAGGACATTTCCCAAACATGAAGAATGAATTGGAAAATCAAATACAAGAGGCTTACAGGCTTACAAATGTACAAAATTATAACAGATCTACACCAAGGTATATTATAGTGAAAATGCCTAGCACAGAATAAGGATAGAATTTTAAAAGTTGCAAGAGAAAAGTTTCAGATTACATATAGGGGGAAACCAGACCATCAGAGCTAGGAGATCCTGGAACAACATATGCCAAGCTCTGAAACAAAATGTATGCCAACCAAGAATCTTATATCCAGCAAAATTAAGCTTCAGATTTGTTGACCAAATAAAAACCTTCCATGATAAGCAAAAATTAAAAGAATTTTACAGCAAGAAAGCCTGCACTACAGAATATTCTCTGCAAAATATTCCATAAGGAGAAAAAAAACCCATGAAAATCAGCAAAGGGAGGAACTACACTAAAGGAAAATTCAAAGGAAAAACCAAGTCAAGTTAAAAACCAAAAATAAACCAAAATGACTGGCAATATGAACCATGTCTCAATAATAACCCTGAATGTTAATGGCTTAAACTCATCAATTAAAAGACGTAGAGTGGCAGATAGGATCAAAAAAAAAAAAAAAAGATCCAACAATATTCTGCCTTTAAGAGACTCATCTTATAGGAAAAGACATCCACAGACTGAAGCAATCGATAATAGTTTAATTCATGAATTTTCAATTAGGGCAGGGTTCAATGGGAATGATTTGTCTCCATCCCAAGAGGATGAGTGATGGAGAATCTACTTTCAAAATGACACTCATTTTTGCTACATATGGATTTCCAGTGGGACTACAAATTGGTGCGACCACTTTGGAAAGCAGTATGAAGATTCCTCAGAAAACCGGGAGTAGAAACACCATTTGACCCAGCTATCCCACTCCTCAGTATATACCCAAAGGACTTAAAACCAGCATACTATAGTGACAGCCATACCAATGTTTATAGCAGCTGAATTCACTATAGCTAAACTGTGGAACCAACCTAGATACCCATCAATAGATGAATGCATAAAGAAACCGTGGTATATATACACAATGGAATATTACTCAGCATTAAAAGAGAGTGAAATTATGGCAGTTACAGGTAAATGCATAGGGTTGAAGAATATTATGCTAAGCGAAGTAAGTGAATCCCCAAAAAACTAAAGGCCAAATATTTTCTCTGATTAATGGATGCTGATCTATGATGGGGGGCAGAGCATGGGAGGAATTGAGGTACTTTGGATTGGGTAAAGGGGAGGGTGGGGAGGAGTTATGAGGGTAGGAAGGATGGTGGAATGAGATGGACATCATTATCCTAGGTAATGTATGATTGCACAAATGGTGTCTGTCTACATCGTGTACAACCAGGGAATTGAAATGTTGCACTGCATTCGTGTACAATAAATTAAAATACATTCTGCTGCCATGTACAACTAAGTAGAACAAATAAAAATAATAATAATTAAAAATTAAAAACGAAGGTATCAGAAGTGGTTAACACCTGGGCAGTGTTGTAAAGGGTAAGTAGGTATTTATCTCATGGATTTAGGGGAACTGATATTTCATGCTTCTTTACTGTGAATTAACTCTGAATCTTTGTGATAATTTCTTGGGTTTACCTTGAGGTCCAGTTGTAAGCACACAAAAGACACAAATATGCATACAGGTGTGCACATGCGAACATGGCTTGGGAAACAGTCCCTACTGGAAGGGCACCAGTCCATGTGAGTGTAATCCCAGAATATAGTTTTTTTAAAGTGTACTCTTTTTTAGCCTCATACCTCTGACTTCATTTAGAACTGATTATAAATAACTTTTTTTTTTTTTAATACCACAGATTGAACTCAGGGCACTTAACCACTAAGCCACTTTTTAATATTATAAAGCCCCCAGCCCTTTTTTATATTTTATTTAGAGGCAGGGTCTTGTCACGCTGCTTAGGGCCTCACTAAGTTGCTAAGCCTGGCTTTGAACTTGTGATTGTCTTTCCTTAGCCTCCTGAACTGCTGGGATTACAGGCATGTGCCACTGTGCCTTCCATGAGTAAGTTTTAAAATCCATTAGATCATGGGGTATTCTTTGTATAATATATGATAGGTTCTTTTTTTTTTTTGGTAGTTGGGATGGAACCCAGGGATGCACTATCACTGAGTCATATCCCCACTCATTTTTATTTTTTATTGAAATAGGGTTTTGTTATGTTGCTAGGCTGATTTCAAATTTGTGATCCTCCTGCCTCAGGCATCTGAATTGCTAGGATTACAGGTGTGTGCCATGCACCTGTCTTATGATAGGGTCTTGAGTATTTGAACACAGTTTACAAAGTCTATAAGAGAGAAAAATATATGGAAAATAATGATCCTAATTGTTTTGAGGATCAAGAAATTGGTGCTCTTCTACATTGCCAGTGACATTATAAATCTATTGAACAGTTTTAGAAAGTAATTGGGCAGCAGAACTATGAAATATTCTTACTTTTTAATTTTAACCTCATCTGACTTCTATGATACTGTCATAGGTAATTCAGATAGCTTAGATGTTAATCTTAATTCTATTTGTGGTTGTGAAATATTGACTGCAACTAAAATTAATAAGTGGAAATACAAAATGACTCTTCTGGAACAAATATAATTACATAAGAACACAGAAAATTGCATTAAGATATAAAAAGCCTTACTTAAACATTGGATTTAAA